GGAGGTAGCATCAAAACTCATCCTGCTGTGGTCTGTCTGCTGCTAAGGTGGGCTCATTCCTCGATGCCATACCTGTCAGACACTGATGACGCTGTCTGGGGTATCAGACTGCTCAACTGGAACTAGAGAGTTCTGTTGGGAACTGAAGCAGGCCCAGAGGCTCTTTCTGCAAGCACTGGTCCAGGGACAGGGGCCATTAGGGTCTGCTCACTGCTAAGCTTTATCAGCCTAGCACTGAGTCCCAAGGAAATGCTGTGATCCTTCTTATCTGCCCAAGATTGCAGGAGCAGTATAGAAGCATCTTTGCAGCATTGTAGGCATGTCGTTTTTGGGGCACACCTGTGTCTCACAGTTGCCAAGTCCTGTGCTACCAGGTCTGTGAAAGCGTGGTGGTAATACATGCCCGAACAAGTCTGTCTCACGAGAGCACAGATCTCTGGCTGATGCTGAGACATCATCAAAGTATTTGCCCTGGGACAGAAACACTTCTCCTCTGCCCAGTGTTAGACTTTGGCAACAAAGCACTGAGTCCAACACTGTCCTGTGGTCCCCTGCTATATGCCCAAGGATGGAGGACACAGACAAAGGCAGTCCTCTGTCCACTCAGACTGGTGCCAGGCTGCTTATGCCTGGTGCCCATGATCACAGGTCCCCACCAAGTCCCAGCGGTACCTGCCAAGCCTATCAGAGTTGACATATGCCAAAATGCATCCAACCCCCTAGAGCACCTGATGCCAGGTCAGTCTTGACTAGTGCAAACAACGCTGCAGTAAAAATGGAAGTACAAGTATCTCTTTAACAAACCAACTTCATTTCCTTTGGATGTATGCCCTGTAGTAGGTAGACTGACGAATCACATGGAAGATTTATTTTCAGGTTTTTGAGGAACCTCCATACGGTTTTACATATGGCTGTATTAATTCACATTCCCCCAACAGTATTTAAGATTTCCCCTTGGCCGGTGCCACGGCTCAATAGGCTAATCCTTCATCTGTGGCGCCGGCACACGGGGTTCTAGTCCCAGTCGGGGCACCAGATTCTGTCCTGGTCGCTCCTCTTGCAGGCCAGCTCTCTGCTATGGCCCGGGAGTGCAGTGGAGGATGGCCCAAGTCCTTGGGCCCTGCACCCGCATGGGAGACTAGGAGAAGCACCTGGCTCCTGCCTTCGGATCAGCGTGGTGCGCTGGCCACAGCACGCCGGCTGTGGCGGCCATTGGAGAGTGAACCAACGGCAAAGGAAGACCTTTCTCTCTGTCTCTCTCTCTCTACCTCTCTCTCTTACTGTCCACTCTGCCTGTCAAAAAAAAAAAAAAAAAAAAAAAAAGATTTCCCCTTTATTTTTATCCTCATCAACATTTGTCATTTTTCATTTTTTATTAAAAAAAAGCCATTCTAACTAGAGGGAAATAATATCTCATTATAGTTTTCACTTTTATTTCTCTGATGATTAACAATATTGAGATTTTTTTTCATATAGTTGTTGACTACTGTATATTTTTTGTTTTGGTCTGAAATATTTAACTTCCATTTTTAAAAATAAATATTGATTTGATATAAAATTTCAGTCTGACAGTATACTTTCATGTTTGATTTTCTTTCTTTTTTTTATATTTGGGTTCAGCACTTGAAAGTAGCTGTTCCATTGTTGGCTAGTTTGAATAGTTTCAGACGACAAAACCAGGGTAATTCCCATTTTTTTTAAGGTTTTATTTATTTATTTGAGAGGTAGAGTTACAGATAATGAGAGGGAGAGACACAGAGAAAGGTCATCCTTCCATTGGTTCACTCCCCAGATGGCCGCAATGGCCAGAGCTGAGCCGATCCAAAGCCAAGAGCCAAGAGTTTTTCCCAGTCTCCCATGTGGGTACAGGGGCCCAAGCACCTGGGCCGTCTTCTACTGCTTTCCCAGGCCATAGCAGAGAGCTGGATTGGAAGAGGGGCAGCTGGGACTGGAACTGGTGCCCATATGGGATGCTGGCGCCGCAGGCGGAGGATTAACCTACCGCGCGGAGGATTAACCTACCGCGCCAAGGAGTTGGCCCCTAATTCCTATTTTTATTCTTCTGTTTATAGCATGTCTCCTTTCCCCCTACCCCATGCTGGCTGCATTATAAGATTTTCTCAATATTGCCATGTTTTACAAATTTGGTCATGCTATGTCTTAATGTGGTTTTCTTTGTATGTATCCTGCTTGAAATTTCTCTAGTCTTTCAAGTATATGGGCTTGAGTTTTATTCATTGAATTTGAAAATTTTCAGCCATTGTTTATTCAAATATTTTATGTCCTCCATCCTTCTATAAATATACATATATGTGTATATTAGACTGCTTAAATTTTTTTCAAAGTATATAAGACTGCTTTCAAAATTGTTCCCCAAGTTACTGAGGCTCTGTTCATTTTTTTCATTTTTTATATATGCTTTGTTTTTAAATAGTTCTCATTGTTGTATTTTCAATTTCACTGAATTTTTTCTTCTGTATTTCTTCATCCAGATACTTTGTTATTCAGAACAAGAGATTAGTTTTTCTGTATATTTCTCACTTTTATCCTCATTGTGTTCTTATTTTTCTTTACAAAATTACGCATAGTTTATAATACATTTTAAAATTCTTATTTACTAATTTCATCATCCCTGTCATTCTGGGTGTTTCTGGTGACTGATTTTCTACTGGAAACAGTTCATATTATCCTGTGATTAGTAATTTTTTAAATATTTATTTATTTCCTGGAAAGGCAGAGTTACAGAGAGGGAGAGACAGAGAGAGAGGTCTTCCATCCACTGGTTCACTCCCCAGATGACCACAATGGCTGGAGCTGGGCCAATCCAAAGCCAGGAACCAGGAGCTTCTTCCAGGTCATCCACGTGGGTGCCAGGGCACAAGGACTTGGGCCATCTTACAATCCCCGGCCATAGCAAAGATCTGGATCAGAAATGGAGCAGCTGGGACTTGAGCCAGTGCCCATATGGGATACTGGACCTGCAAGCAGCAACTTCACCGGCTACGCCACAGTGCCAGCCCCAATTAGTAATTTTTTATTGAATGTTGAACTCTTCCTTTCAAGGGTGTTGTAAGGCAGAGGTTTATACTATACGCAGTCAGCCTTGTCTTTTTGAAGATTGTTTGCAGGCTTTGTAAAGTGTGCCTTGCATAGCCTCCGCTCTAAGGATAGGCTAGCCAACCATAATGCACGACTTCTCTGAGGTCTACACCAAATGCCCCATGTTTTCAAGAAATAGTCTTCATTTTGGCTGCTAAGACTTGAGTAGCTTCTTGCCTGTGTGATTTGTGAAAATCCTCCAGCTTACAGTCCTTGCATGTCTTTTCTCTGGCCTTGCGGAGCTTCTCTGCATACACAATTAAATATTCAACAGAATCTCAAGAGAACCCCTTGGAAATTTTTAAAGCTCTTTTTTGCACTCCCCTCTGGTACTCCATCCCAATAATTCTGATCATCACAGCCGTCCTGAACTCCAGTCTGTGTCTCTGCCACTCTGCAATTCTGCAGTGCCTTGTCTGGTATTCTCCTCTCTTTGGACTACATGTGGAAAGTTGGGTGATCTCAGGCCAAACTCATCTGTTTCTCCGCTTTCAGGAACACAGTTCTGTTTTCCAACATTCAAACCATTCTTAGTTGTTTATGATGGGAGGGAAAATCTAGACTCAGTTACTCCACCATGGTCAGAAGCAGGCATGTGTTGATATGTTTTTGGTTGATCTTAAAGCACAAACATATTGATTACTTTGATTTGAGAACAAAATAGCCTGTGAAGGGCTGAAAGAATTGATAAAATAGAATGAAAATTTACATATATATATATATATATGTCAATGAGGATTGTGTTGTATTATTTATTGGCAGATTTTTGGCCAACTAATTTAATTAATTAGAGAGGAAGGAATTGGGAATCATAAAGTAACTGGAAAGCAATTTTACAATAAGAGTTATTATTTTGTTAAGTAGTTTCCCATCCTTTGTTCTTTAGATTGCTCTCTGTATCAGGCAAAATAGGCTAGATCATTTTGTGGTTACAAGTAATCTCCTGGGGGGATTCCAATTCAATCCCATCAAGGTGGCATGTACCAATGCCATCTCACTAGTCCAACTGATCAATTTCAGTTCACAGTTGATCATAATGAAAGGACTAAGAGTCAAAGGGATCACATAAACAAGTCTAGTGCCTGCTAATACTTACCGATAGAATAAATAAAGGGGAGAGCGATCCAACATGGGAAGTGAGATACACAGCAGACTCATAGAATGGCAGATGTCCTAAACAGCACTCTGGCCTCAGAATCAGCCCTAAAGGCATTCGGATCTGGCTGAAAAGCCCATGAGAGTATTTCAGGCATGGAAAGCCAAGACACTTTGGCAAAAAAAAAAAAAAAACCTAAATGAAAGATCTCTATAAGTAAGATCCCAGTGGAAAGAACAGGTCTTCAAAGAAGGAGGTACCTTTCCCTGAAGGGAGGAGAGAACTTCCACTTTGACTATGACCTTGTCTAAACAAGATAAGAGTTGGAGAACTCAAAAGGCTTCCATAGCCTTGGAAACTCATGACTAGAGCATAGGGAGATTACTGATGCCATAAACAGGAGTGTCAATTTGTAAAGTCAACAACAGGAGTCACTGTGCACTTACTCCTCATGTAGGATCTCTGTCCTTAATGTGCTGTACATTGAGATTTAATGCTATAACGAGTACTCAAACAGTATTTTTCACTTTGTGTTTCTATGTGGGTGCAAACTGTTGAAATCTTTACTTAATGTATACTAAACTGATCTTCTGTATATATAGAAAATTGAAAATGAATCTTGATATGAATGGAAGGGGAGAGAGAGCGGGAAAGGGGAGGGTTGCGGGTGGGAGGGAAGTCATCGGGGGGTGGGGGGAAGCCAATGTAGTCCATAAGCTGTACTTTGGAAATCTATATTCATTAAATAAAAGTTAAAAAAAAAAAAACAAACAAGTAATCTCCTGGGGCCAGTGCCGTGGCTCACCTGATTAATCCTCCGCCTGCGGTGCTGGCGTCCCACATGGGCGCCGGTTTCTAGTCCCAGTTGCTCCTCTTCCAGTCCAGCTCTCTGCTGTGTCCCAGGAAGGCAGTGAAGGATGGTCCAGGTGCTTGGGCTCCTGCACCCGCATGGGAGACCAGGAAGAAGCACCTGGCTTCTGGCTCTGGCTTCAGATCAGCGCAGCACACCAGCCATAGCAGCCATTTGTTGGGGGTGAACCAACGGAAGGAAGATCTTTCTCTCTGTCTCTCTCTCTCTCACTGTCTAACTTTGTCTGTTAAATAAAAAAGAAAAGTAATCTCCCAATAACAGCTACTTTATTGTCACTCCTGCTACTCATCCATTATGGGCAGCTTACAGCAGCCAGTATAAGTGAGGCTACCCACCTGGATGTTAGCAGGATGCAAGGCAGAGGGAAAGACGTACAGCAAAGCATGAGAAGACCATCATGACTTCTGCCATGAAAATGACACAGTTCCCACATTGAACCTGCAAAAAAGAAAAAAGTCACATGACCACATATCACATTAAGAAGCCCAGGATATAAAATCTTTCCACAAATAGTAAGCCATAGTGAAGAGAACAAAATACTTTGTGACTATAAATACAACTTACTGTACTCCTACACACAGCATCACCTTACCTTTTGTGCTAGAGTAGTTCCTACAAAAAGCTAGGCAGAATCAGAGAATGTAGCTAAGCACTGGAATGTGACGTCCATCCTGATACTATACATCATGTATGCTTGAAGAATGTCCATAGACAATCGCAAGGATCTAGAGGATCTATAGTTGTGAAATTGTAGAAAGCTAGAATGTCAGTTTATGTCAAATGAAGAAAAGTAAAATACATGCTAGCCTATGTGATATTATTTCATTTGTATAAAGAAAGTTCTGTATTTACCTATCTTCATGTGTGTGCATGGAAATATTCTAAAGGAATTCACAGGAAGTTGATACTTCTTAAATAACATACAGGAAAAATGTTTCTCTGGAGAAGAATTTAGAGGTCTAGTGTCGCTCGCTCTCTTTGCGGAGGAACGACACTAGACCCTGCGCTGTTCTTTTGTCTGCTCGGCCCTTCCTGGGTTTGCTGCTGGTTCTTCCTGGGTTGGCTGCCATCCCTCCACCCCTGTGGAGGGGCGGCTCCCCCTGCCACTTTCCCCACTTCCACGGGGGAGTGGCACACTGCCAGCCGGCTCTCTCGGGGGCTGCTCAGATGTTATCCAGATGTTCCCTTTAGATGTTCCTGGTGCATGTTGTCTCTCTCCTCTTTTATAGTCCTCTTCCACCAATCCCGACTCTGCTACCCACACGCGGAGCACGCTGCTCTCCTCCAATCAGGAGCAGGATCAGCTCCTGCAGGTTACTGGTCGAACTGGAGGCAGCTGTGTAGAAGTTGTTTACTCCCTTTCAGCGCCATATTGTGGGAGAGCAGATGCATAGAATAAGTCTTAATTCCAGTAACTTAGTCTAGTCCGAGTTGCTCCCCACAGTCTAGATTGGGAGAGACATTCTTATTGTACATCCTTTTGGACTCTAAATTTTTTCACAGATGTTCACTATTTTCATAATGATTTTTTAAAATTGACTCCTAAGCATACGCTACACAGTTTGACATCAGTCAAACGGTTTCCTCAGCAATGTTCCAGGGTGCTATAGATGGTCAAGATCTGGTGCCACACTGCAGAGGGACCATGGCAGATCATCGAAGAATCAATCAACGATGAATTCTCAGAGCTTTTGCTAGAAGCCCTTGACAGTTTCTAAACCTAATGAAAAAATAAAAATATGAAAGAAAACGTTCAAGTTATTTATTTCCTTAGGTCCTGACATTAATGCTCTTACCCACTAAGGTAGAGAGATTCAGCTTGTGATACGCTGCTCCCAGAAACCAGAGCTCAGGGCTTATTTGTGCTAATCCTTTCCTGCCATGTTATTCTCCCACAAAATTCCCATTGAGGAACTCCTCCGCTGCCTCGGCTGAAGAAGTGTTCTGTAACATCTGCCTCCTAAGCATGGTGACATGCTGATAATTTCCAGAATGCCAAGAACCAATTCTGCACCTCAGCCTCGCAATGAATTAAACCGCACTTGACAACACTTGGAGCTGTGACCCTCTTACTCAACACAGGATCAATTTTTCACTCTGAAATGATGAATGTATCAGCTAACAATTTCTTGTTTTTATTGTGAGAATCAGGATGTTCGCAGCCACTTCCATGACTGTGAGACTTAGGTCACACCTCTGACCTGCAGAACCATAAAGTCATAGATTTGGGTCATTTTAAGACATTGTGCAGCAACTTGTTTCAGCAGAAACAATGTCCCTGTGCCATGTGTCTAGTCCCCATTGTTTAACAAGCCTGAGACACAGACTCTACAGACACCGGATTGGGTGGTACCATTTTTCTTCCAAGCAAATAGAATATCAGAAGTTCTCTTGATAATCAAACCACAAAATTAACTTTGGAAGATGCAATAATAGGTAATGTTTCAAATGAAATGTGAAATAAATTGTATGAAAGAAAAACCACTTAGTCGCCACAAACAAGATTTCTATAAAATCTTTAATGTGCAGAGATCACACTGTTGTCCTAGTATCTTGCCCACACTCCAGAAACACAGGCAGGGATTGCTTTTGCTTGAAAATTTGAGCATATTCCATATGTATTTCATTGAGGGTAGAGGAGGACAAGGGTACTCACAAACTTATTTGTCATAACCCAGCAAAATAAACATTTTTCTAAGAAAAAGTGATCCACAATTGATCTTATCAGTTGTGTTAACCATTTCAGGAAAGAGAGTTCTAGATAAAGTACATCAGAATAGATGAGAATACAACTAACTCCATCTCTATCCTCATAGCCATATAAGAGTTACTGTACCACACCAAATGCCAGATGTAGACTCCACTAATACGATGTAAAATTAAAGATATTTGGGTAAGAACCTTGTCTGGGGCAACTCCACCTTGTCCCAGTGCTTTCAAATTATTAGATGTCAAAAAAGATAGTACAAACAGCTAGCACATCTTGAATTAGAGGTTTGGAGGAAACTGAATAATAAAACTTGCAATGTTTTATATTTTTATTGCTCAATTGGTCACTCCTACATTCAACAATACATGTCAGTAGTCCTGCTTATTTTTTAAGAGAGCTGCATCCAGATTTAACAGAGAATTTACCCCACAAGTTATTTTTTTATACTGGTCCCTGTTCACCACTTTCTTATTCATGTATTCCACAAGAGGTTGTCTTTTATTACAACTGTGAAGCTGAAGCACAGTGCATTAATTTTACAAATGAGACGCTGGCGTCACTATCACGGAAGGTTCAGAAGCAGGCTGAAGAGTGTGGCATCACCCTGGTGACTTGCTGAGATGAGAGAACTCCAGGGCCTGGACCACAGAGAAGCCATTAGAGAGCTCTCCTCCAGAGACATGTCAGTGTTTTTTACTCAACCACTTAAGGAATGATCATGGCCACAAAGCCAAGGAAGCAATCACTCTTCTCGGGCTATTGCAAAGAATGAAATGGAGTCTCTGGGCGCTTCTACAACCATTTGTACTGACATAACCTTGAGGGAGGCTTCCCCCTTTCTGACTGGAAAATTACATTAGCAAGAGAGAAAAGGTTTTACAAATGCCAAGGGGTATAATAGTTCATTGTTGGCTTGTTTGCTCTCATTTTGAGTTCCTATAGTTTTTTATTTTCATTAGTTTAAACAGAAAGGAGGATGTGAACTGGGGTTTGGAGAAAAAGGGGCCTGAGGGAGGGAAGTGGGGAGGAAGGAGGACAGGACGACTTCACCTAGAATAATAGATTTTGCAGGAAAATAGATTTTCTTACAAAGATCAGTTGCTCTTCTTTTTGGTAATTTCCATTAAGAATAATGTAAATGGATTATCAAGGGGGATAGCCAAACCTGGGAAGATGTTTATTAGATGCCGCTAACTATTAAATGATGATAAAAAGTCTTTTCCATCAAGTCTGGGAATTTGTTTTCCCACAAAGCTGGGTTTTCAACATTAGTATGCAATCTCCCTTTGTACTTCGTGTGTGTGTGCTTTTTTGTGTAAACATATATAAAATAAAATGTTATACAAAATTGTATTTTGTGGTTAGCCTTTGGAAAAGTGTAAGGTTGGCAATAACCAGATATTGCTAACTTAGTAGTCTTCCTTGACCTAAACCACTATAAAGGAAAGCAAATTTGCTCAGATTATTAGCAAAGTCAGACACATATTAGTCAATGTTTCGAGCGTGCTGCCTCAGGATGATTTCTCAGGGACATGTGTGGCAATAGCCAATTAATAGTGCCGATGTCAACAGCAACCATGGTTTAGATTTATGTTATTGCATACATAGGGTAGGAGAGATTGGTATGAGTCAATATCAAAGGTTAATACCAGAGAGAGCTGGTTATATTTGGTTCAATGTGAGATTACAGAATGCACTTCTAATCCTAGCCAGAAGTTTTCTAAATGCACCTTACTGATCAAATATTATTTGCTATAAATAGGCCTAAACAGCCATTAGTATTGTAAAGCAGTAAAATGTTCATAGCTTAGCTATAGATTTATATATGTATACACATTTAGAGGTTTATATTTTCCCTAAAAATTAAATTATAGTGAAAACAGTTTGGAATTACATTATTCAGGGAAAATTGAAATGCCTTTTCTTTTAGTATCCTTTCAGATCTAAAGTCATATTTTCTTTTGTTTAGATACAAAAAACTATGCTATTTTTAAGTTTGTTTGCCTTTAAAAATCATTAATTTTCTCATTTTTGCAATAGAGATACCTGGAAGTGGACAAGTACATGGGGAAATTTTTCAACTGCAAAAGTGGAAGAAACAAAAATGTGGAAGAGTATCTTATTTTTACAGTTAGTGAATCCTCACAACTTTCTACATATATAGATATATATATGTATATATGTGTGTATTCCCAAATGTAAAAATTTTCAAAATGTCATCTCTCCTCTGACTTGAGTACATTTATTCCTGTGTATCCACACACACACACACACACTCTCACACACACACACACTCACACACACACACTCATACACTCACTTATCTTTGGATTCCTGTTTCTAATTAAATTGCAAAGGGCTGTAAATATTTCAAATTTGGAGCAGGGTGTTCTCATTTATTATTGAAAGAACATGGTGATCTCCAGATACATACATACACACACAGAGAGAAAGAGAGGGAGAGAGAGATCTCACACCTGACCAGGGAAATGTTACAAACATTTGTTCAATTACCAGGAGCTAGGAGAGGGACAGCCACCCACTCACAAACCCAAAGGTTATTATCCACACAATACATAAAAGCATGGGTGTCAAATTGCCCAGAAGGGACAGCTCATGATGAGGCCACCCTTAGGCAAGCTCTCTTCTTTGTAGTGGGCTGTTTGTCTCACAGTCCTTTACGGTGAAGGGGAAAAGGAGCAATGTGGAGGAGAGCTGATACAGGGGG